GTAAATAGAAACTTTTATTTGGTCTGTTTTATAGCCAAGGAAACTGAGGCTTAGCAAGATCAAAGGAATTTCCTGAAATCCAGTAAGCATGAGGATTATAACTCAAGCCCAGAAAGTATTTCATCTGTGGTTGTTTTTATGATATGACTATTAAATATCATTGGTGCCATCCTTTTGCTTTAAATCAGTGAGAGGAGAATACTGCGCAGATTTTTGGTTTTGTTTGTTTATTGGGAACCTGGAAGTGTACGTGGGGAGGAGGAACAGAGTACCAGGTGAGAAGGCAATAAGCCTGGAAGACTATTGGTATCATGAAGCCAAATGAGTCACTGAGATTTATTAGACCTGTAAGTGTTGAAGGTATTCGAGAAATAAGGGAAAGGCAGAGAGGTCTTATTTTTAAAACTCCACCATCAGAATTTGGAAGATTGGTGTTGAACTAACTGCCATGCATTGCTGATAAATATCCACCCTGTGTCTCGCTGGCATATCCGCTTGCCCTCAGGATCCCTCCCCTGGTGTTCATGTCCAACCGTTTCCTCGGCCAGCGTGCTCGTGTTCACCATGCTCTACACGCTCCACTCGCTTTTCCTCTACTCTCACATTTCAAATCAATTGGAAACTTAGGGGGTCAGTTCTTTACTTCAAGTCACTGTTGAATAACCCGGCACCAGGGCTCAACACTCATGATTCTTCAATTCTGTGTGATGTGCCCCGGCTCACCCGGCCATGAATCTCCGAGGTGCTCTTCACCGGCTGATTTGCCCTCTTTCCAGGAAAGGCAGTGTAGGTCTTCAGGGAGAGTCTATAAATATTCCTCCATGTCTGCAGCCCACTCATACATTTCCTGTTAGATTTGCATAACTCAAAATTGAATTGAGACTAGTTGCTTATTAGCCATAATCATGCTTGAGCAGTAGTTTATGTTTGCGGACAGGCACTTTAATTTACTGTTATTTTTTCATATGCGTAAGTTTGGAAGCTTCATTCACCCCGCCCCACAAACTCCGTGTTTTCATTGACACTTAAAGCCTTCTGCCAATAGGGTGCTATTGAAGAATTTATTAGAAAGGAAGAGATATCCTTTGGGAATAACAGAGGACCTGTTATGTGGACTCCTCCCTGGAACGGTCCTTTCTTTCTCTTTATCTTACTAAAAAGCCGCTTTTATGAAAAAAGATGCATGGATTTTGATGTCTGTTTAGTTGCAGTTTTAATCCTAGCTGGGTGACTTTGTGCAAATTATGTATCTCTTTCTCCCTCTGTTTTCTTATTTATAAATTATGTATACTACTACTAGTAGTAGTACTACTACTAATAATAATACCAACCTCGTAAAGTGGTATAATAATAAAGTGAGATATCATATGCAAAATGCCCAGAAATGTATCTGGTATAGATCAAGGTTATAATACCTGAAAACTTCCACTACATTTTACATATATTTGTAATACAAATGCTTTCCACCTGCAAAGCCACTGTCTTCCACTTCTCAACCTTCACTTTAATACAATCAGTGCAACTATTTTTCCCAAAGTTTGAATTATTTGACCTGGGATTACACCATAAAGCAGAATACCTCTGTCTGTGAGTGTGCACTGTGCATGTGTTTGTGTGTATGGTGAGTTTGTGTGTGTGGATTCAGTGGGAAGGAAGAGGTACTGGTCATGTTCTCTCTCAATGTGAAGTAAAGGCACCCCATTTATTTTTTCTATCATCTTCAGTCTTCATTTTTTGTCTCCTAAGATAACACTAGGACAGGACACACACACACACACACATTATTATGTGTACACCCTAAAGGTAAACAACATTTTTTAGAGTAAGTACAATATCATTGGAATTAACTGAGAGGGTGAGAATAAACTTTTTCCCAAAGGCATAATTATTTACAAAAAGTGTCCCTACCCAAATGAAGATAGCTTTAATATTATTATGCAGAATCATTTAAATTACACTTTTTTCCCCCTCTTTTTAATCTCCCTTTTCTATACTCCTCACAGAGCCCTAACTACATTTCAAAAGGAACCAAGCACAGCAGCCCTCTCTCTCAAATGCTAGTAGCATCTGTCCTTTGGCAATATGAGCAGTTGCTGTCAGGAGAAAAGGTGGCTCATTCAAATGGGGCAACCGGAGAAAATTAAACAGATCATGTACAAAGCAGTGGGCGGGATGGATGTAAGCCAGCAGGACCTGGGCTAGTGAGAGCCCAGATCCTGAAAGCAGATAGAGGTAGGAGCAGTTAGTAGAACTCAGATGAAGTGGCTATAGGAAAATGCCCCTCCACAGCAACTGGAGCTTTTGACGGGGTGTGGAGCCCACTTGTGATGATCCAGAAGATGAAATCTGGTGGAATAAATAACCCAATTTCCCTCTCTCCTTTTGCCATCATTTCTCCTTCCATTGTGTGCCCCATCCCCTATTTGCCAAGCCCAACTAGAAGCCAATGAATAAGCAGACTAATGATGCACTCCATCTATGGACAGTCTCCTTGTTACAGATCAGGTTGAAGACAGGCAACCAAAAAAGGGAGCAGATGGAGAAGATTGCATACATGCCCTTCATTTACAGTTCAAGATTATTAAATGTATAAATGTGCTGGTCTTCCTTTTATCCTTAATCTCATCAAAATGATAGAAAGGAACTTTTAAAGCCCTAATTTCTTGTCAAAAATGAAAGGAGAGGACCATCAGTGGATAAGAGATCTAAATTCATTTACGGAAGACTTAATGGACAAGGACCAAAGAGCAGAGAAGCTGATGACATCACAGGAAGCCACGGCCTAACTGAGCAGGAATGTGGGTGGCAGTAGAAGAGGAAGCCATGTACCCAGGAAGACCCAGAGCATTCGTGGCTGTTTTGATGGAAGACAGGAGTGAGCAGCAGGACTGAAACAATGGATTATATAAAGCTTTTAAACAACTAGCAGACACATAGAAATAGCTATATAATTATAAAAAATTGAAAGGTGGTGCAAAGTAAATTCTCATCAATTATAGTAGAAAGTCAATCGATAATGTCTAAAGCTAATAAATCTAAAAGTAATGCCATAAGCATGTTAATTATAGATTTAGAGGTAACCACAGAAGTAAGCACAGAAACAGTTTATAGTGTTTGGAAGGAGGACAGGGAATAGGTAGTAGGTCAGTTGCTTCTCAGTATATCTTTTTGTAATAATTATTTTTTTAAAAACCATGTGAATAAATATTTTTTAAAATATGTTTTATTGAGTGCAGAAATAGACGAAAGGAAAAGTGAGAAACATTGATGCCAAAGAGAAACATCCATTGGCTGCCTCCCGCTGTGCATGCTCCCCACTTTGGGGGAACCAGGACCCGGGCATGAGCTCTGATCAGGAATTGCACCAGAAACCTTTTGGTGCATGGGGCAACATTGAACCCGCTAAGCCACACCAGCCAGGGCATGAGTAAATAATTTAATAAAGGTTCTTTTTAATTCCCTTTTGTTTCACTACACTTAGTTTACTGGTTTTCTAAAACTATTCTTAACATGGTTGGGTGCATTATCTGTCCCAAACCTACAAATTAACTCAAATTTCTCCTATACGCCCCCTCTCTCCATTTTTATAGACACCCTTTTATGCCCACACACAAGCCATATGCAAATCAGCCTTTTGAGTGCAGTTACATGTCTCTCTCTCTAAATCCCATGCACCCTATGTCTCAGTGCCTTTTCTCAAACGGTTTCTTTGGCCTGGAAATGGCTTCAGCAGTTTTTTGTTGTTGTTGTTGTTAATCCTCATCCAAGGATATTTTTTATTTTTTCCATTGATTTTTAGAGAGGGTGGAAGGGAGGGAAGGAGGGGGAGAGAGAGGAGAGAAAGAGAGAGAAACATCTTTGTGAGAGAGACACATAGATTGGTTGCCTCCCACACATCCCCCAACTGAACCAGAGATTGAACCTATAACCCAAGTATGTGCCCTTGACTGGGAATCAAACACAAGACCCTTCAGTGTGTAGGTCGATGCTCTAACCAATGGGAAATACCAGCCAGCACCACATTATTATTTTTATTCAAGCTGCAAGTCTTGGAATAAATCCTGCCTCCTCCAAGAGCTGTCTTTGCTCTTCAGAGACATGAGTGATTATGCTTTATTCTGTGTTCTTCTAACACTACACCTCAGTCTGACACTTCTTGCTCTACAATGACTCAGAACTAGTTGCGTATCTATTGGTCCCTTGTCTTTCTGTTTAATTCTAAGTTGAAGAATTGGTATCTTCACACCTAATGTAATATGTTGCACATAGTAATTGAAATAGCTGATAACCACTTTAACTATAATTGGTTTTTGTTGGTGCTGTTGATTCAGGAGACATCTAAAGTTATAAAATGAATGCTACAACACACTAAAGTGAACATCAGCTGTCTTTTTAGCAAGATGCTTATTAATAATTCTGCTTCTTAGCAAAACCATGAATTAGACAATATTTTCTCACAAACTTAGTGACTCTTTTCTAAATTTCAATTACATACATATTATCTCAGGTTATGAGGAATAAGAAATCTAACACACTAATACCCATAAATATGTTACTAATGTAGTCATTTTTATGAGTGTTTGCATTGTAAAGAGTAGCCTAGAGAGGAAGCGTCTTACCCAAGAGAATGACTGGCTGCTAATGAAATGCTAGGCCCCTGAGCTGCTATTTGAGATGAGAGAGCGTTTCTGCAGCTCACAGATTGTGCCATGTCATTCTTATGCCACAGGCAATATGGATTCAGATGAATTTCAAACACACTAAGACAGTGGGAAATAACCTTAGTATATTAGGACACATAGATTCGAAGTCACAATTATTAAGTGTAAAACGTGTCTCTCTACAAGTCAGATTGATTATTAACCACTAGTCTTTGCTTGTTACTCTCGTTTCCCCGGTAGTCTTTTTATATATTCTTACTTCACCTCTGTTTTTTTCAGTTGCTAGTTAACCCTGGATTTTCTCTGCATCCACCTAATTTTATGTTCCCTTTACTTCAGGAAATGCCACAACAAGACAGTCTCGATACAGGATCATCAACCAGGAGGCAGCCAATGGAGGTCGAGAGTGCCCAGATACCTTATTTGAAGAGCGAGAGTGTGAAGAGGTCTCATTGTGCCCTATATATCGGTAATTAGTTACCTTTTGGAATAATCATTAAACTTCAGTATAAATTATGACTTATTTTTCTCTCATATAATATAGGGTTGCTTAGTGAGAGATAAGATGAGGTGGTATTGTTTATCTTTAAATACCTCTATGTTTTCCCATCCTATCTAGAATCTATCTCGAGGGAGTAAAGACTATCAAAGTCTAATTTATAGGAAACAGACAGATAAACATGTTTTGACTGTTAGTGAGGTTCTGGAGTTCTGCCATTCAGGAAATCTTTTCAAGATCAGGATTCCAGGAGATGCAGGATGAGGTCTTTACCTAAACCACAGACACAGACACAGACACAGACACAGACACAGACACAGACACACACACACACACACACACACACACACACACAAAGGTAATTTATCTCATTCTATTATTCTCATCCTAAAACCTTTTTTATCAAGAACTGCAAACCTAATTTGTACTTATTTAATAAGTAATTAAAAAATGATTTTGGTTCTCAATTTTAATTATATACACATTTTAAGAAAAGATCTAGTTAGAAAAATTTAATCTATGAATAAAATGTTAAAAAAAAAAAAGAAGATGCATAACTTTTAAACTATAAATGTTACCTATATATTTCTTCTTGGCAAGTGTGTGGTTATTTATAAGAAACAATACCTGAAGTTCGTGTGTCTAGTCATAAACTTCCACTCTTTTAACACTGGATTGAAACATTGCTTTAAAAGGCAGCTGAATTAAATTCACTTTTGGATTTTACTGCTTTGTGAAGAAATCCCATGGTCTTAAAAAGCATGTAGTTCCAGCACACTTAAAAATGCCTTTAGCAATAATGCCTAGTGTCTCCCTGCCTTATTGGAAAAGCTATATCTTAAAGCCATGAAATTTAAGGGCTAATTCCTTCAGAAAAATATGTTCTGTTTTGTTTTTCTTTTAAGGAGACTCCTTACATTAGATAAGTTTAGGGTGTCATTGAAGAAATCTAAATTGCTACTGATTTTATCATCCTGTACTCCCATTGTTTCCATCTGATAACCAGTTTGGGGAGGATGCAGATAAACAGTGGGAACGTGCCCAGACTATTGCTTTCTCCTTAGCAACCACGGGCCATTGTGGAAACACTGCCAATAGCCATCCCTTTGTGCCATGGATATAAATATTGAAACTTCTGAGCCCAGCTAAAGCTCTCTTGGGCCTAGTAGCCAATTGAAAACATTAGCCAAATCAAATATTATTACACATTTTTATTAACCCAGGGCTATTATAATCAGAGAAAATCCTAGGAACCATTAGTGAGCTTTTCCTTTCTATCGTCCACTCTCTGGCTCTCTAGCTGCACTTCAATTTGGCCACTCAGATTTGAATTCACTCCCATTATTGACCTCCTACCATTTCCCCCAGAAATCAGTTCCACTGTGTATGGACTGGATCATTTTCTCCTGATGTGTGTAGTTTAATATATGTCCAAGTTACCAGCATGATTCTCTGCTCCTTAGTAAAACATCCTTCAGTTTTAAGTTAATATGGTTCCAATTTTGTTTTTTATTTCTCCTGCATTGGTATGTTGGGGAAGCAAGTTAATGTAGACCTTTTTCATTATATTGTAATTCTTCTTTTTGACTCCATTAAGGTGACATATTCACACCTTTACCAAATCAGAGCAGAGTCAAAATGTCCACAGAACTGTTTCTGTGAGTTTGAGCATCCTCCAGCATGTGAGGTTATAAGTGAAAGGGAAGACAGCAGGGGCCAGGATTCTTACATGGAATGGGCAGGGGGCCTGTGCCTGAGCCCCCAGGATTGAAAACCGGTATGTCCCGACTTGTACAGTCTCCAACATGTCACTTAACCTGAGCTCAGGTCTCAACACTGGGAGTTTAACAAGAGAGTCCTGAAAATTTCTTCCTTCTCTTTCAGTCTTGCAGAACACTAAACTAGATAGAATCCCTTGGTCTCATTTTGGTTCAGAAAAGCCATGTAAATTTTAGGGATCTGAATAAATGACATACCCTAGTTGAAAAGTCAGACAAACCCCTTACCATTTCAGTTTTTATGACTTGAAATTATATTCAATGAGTCTATGCATATACAAAGTAAATTTAGAACTACTTAAAATCAATAGGCAATTTATTTTAAAAGGACAGGTTTTTCTAGTTAACTGTTTTCTGATTTCTTCCCAATTCTTCTCAATATGGAGGCCACTTGAATGAGGTCAATGATATATTTGTTTCATTTTTGTATTTGAATGTGCTGTGCTTGATTTTGCAGCATGGTCTGTATCTCTCTCTTAAGACCACCTCTGCCTCACTTACCTCCCTGTCCGAGAGACTCATGTAATCTAAAGGAACGAGAGGAGGTCGTGAGGGCTGACGTTAATGGCTGGCTATGCTCCACACACTATGTGTTCACATAACCAAGAGGGTCCTTTACAGTGACTTTTCCCGAGCAAAGGGAGTCTGCTCTATGTTCTGCCGTATATATCCTTTCTTTTGCTAAAACTTTTTTTTTTTTATGGTGAGAAATGCATATCATTTACTATGTTGATTATTTTAAGTGTACACTATAGTAGTGTTAATTATACGCACATTATTTTGCAACAAATCTCTAGGACTTTTCCATCTTGTGAAACTGGACCATGATATTTTACTTTCTGTTTCTGTTTTATTCTTTGAAGGTATATTGGCTTATATGAAAAAAGCATAACAATATACAAGCAAAGAAGAAGCAGAATCTGTGGTTTCACTTAGGTTTGTGTTTTGTGGGACATGCTGAAAAGATAGGTTTTTGGATACACGTCACTGTCTGTCATGTGGGTCATAAAATAGAGAGTTTTGTTGACCTGAGAAAGGAAAGATGGGAAGGCCAAAAGGTGTCCTCAGAGACTGTTTCTTCAGAGGAATAGAAATATTGGTAATTCATCAGGGGCAGATCAGCTCCTCCTCCTTGGAATGAACTATCCACCTGTGAGTTGAGTTCTTCGAAGTCCTAGGAAACACATTATTAAGAAATTGAAGTGGAAGATCAAGTGTGAGGTTTGCTTGTGAAACTTTCCCATCTTCAATACGTGCTTTTCTAATGCTCTAATGGGACGTCAGAATCGTCCCCGTTTTTTCCTAACAATTTTAAGTTCATAAAGAGGTAAGCCCTCTAGATTTGATCTGCGCTTCTAATGCTTTTATTGCCACTTTGCGGTATGAACTAAGGTTTATGTGCAAAATGTCCACATTTTAAAAAATGGAATCACAGCATTAGCCATGAATCTGGGTCAGAGTCGGAGTGGACTATTACCTCAAGTGCATACCAGGGTTCCGTTTTATGACGTTCGCTTCAAACCCATTTTTATTGAATTACTATCTTTATGCTTTTGGATTTCCAACTTACCCATTTCAAGTATGTCTTGTGTGTGTCGGTCCTGGTGAATGTTGCAGTTCCCTGTTCTTTGTAATCGCAGGTGGAGGCCTCAGAAGTGGAGCCCCTGTGTCTTGGTGCCAGAGTCTGTCAGGCAGGGAATAATGAGCACCAGTGAAGCCTGTGGAAAAGGGGTGCAAACGAGAGGTAAGAGGATTTCCACGCAGTTTTGCGATGAGAATGTAACTTACAATCATGGAACTCTTATGAACTGTTTATATTATGTTTATATTGGAATGAGTTGCGTTATTGTCAGATTGGCTTATTTGTGAGTGTTTGTGAGTTTTTGGCTTAAGTTTGGCACCAGTTAATGCCCATCTGAGACTATCTTTTGACCATAATCAGCCAGTGCATCTGAGGACTAATGAAACGTAAGCCAAGAGCTGTTCTCCGTCATCAACATACCCCAGTGCTGTTCTTCCCAATGCGTGTTGGATATTAGCCAAGGAGTGAAGGATATGTCAAGATTAGACCTAATAGCATACATTGCAGTTTTTAGGTGCTAATTAAATATTTGTTGAGTGAATGAAAGGATAACTGAATTAATTGACTAATTTTAATAAGCACGTCTTAAACCTTATTGTTTTATATATATAAACTATATACTATATAGTCCATATATAAAATACATAGAAAGGAACTATTAAGATTTCTAGAAACACAGTGAATAGGTTTCCAGATCTGAGTAATAGTGTCTTTTATTGTCAGTGTCAAGAATGGTGGCATGTTGAAATCTCTGAACAGCACATTTGATGATAGGTGCTGCTGTGTACACCCTGCCTTATGGCTTGGTGGGTCAGTAACACCCAGTTCATTCATGATGGGCAGCTCGGGTTGCATGATAACTTGGTGTCCATGGTTAAGCTTCAGTCTCTACAGTAACAGTAACAGGCCAAAGCTGTTTCTGAAAAGGAAAGTAAATATCTTCAGCAGATGGTGGGGCTTTTCTCTAAAACCCTAGGGACCTGCGCTTGGTCAGCCCACAGCAGCGAGCCACAGACCCCAACAGCACCATCTGCCACTAAGACCTCGGTGGTGTTAGAGCTGCCGGATCGTGGTCCATGCGGCAGAGCAGTGTTCATGGTCGCCTGAACTTGTTTTGGAGACTCTTCTTATTCTGGGTGCCACTCAAAACTAGCAGTTTTTCTTGTCACTTGGTAAATGGGCTAGAATAACACACAGAGATGAGGAGTACGTTGTCTCCAACATCCAAAGAGGCCCACTTGATGTCGTGGCTCTTTGGGTTGTGAGGGTCCGATGCAACAAGTTACCCTTCACTTGAGAGGGTATCTCGACGTTACTGAACCTCTAGCAGTTCTGTTGAGGTAGAAGGCCCAGGAATGCATCAAATATGTTTTCCATCCATTGATGTGAAAATGTCTTATGAAACGGTCTACATTAGTTGCTACTTTTTGCTTACTGGATTCAATCAGCATAATGTCATGTTCGTAGTGGACCAGTGTGATCTTACTGAAGAAAGACTGATCAAGATGAGCACAGCCTCAATTATAAAATAGAGCTGGAGGACTGCTATGCCCCTGAGATAGGACAGTGAATGTGCATTGTTGGACTTGCCGGCTAAAAACAAACTGCTTCTAGTAGGCTTTACACCTTCAAATACAGTAATAGCTGGAACTGTGGCTTCAGTGTAACTTTGAAGAGGGACACAATTCAGTTCATAACAGTTACACTTTGGAAATGATGTCCCTGTCGGAACATTACATATTGGCAAGGTTGTTTGACACAGGACTGCGATGAGGGTGTACAGGCCGCGACTCTGTTAATTATAAGAAGGGTGGCTTCTGAAAATCAGTTTATTTCCTTATGTCAGAAAATTGTTGCAATACTATGATCTTGTTGTTACAAGACCTTTACCTACCTTCTGCTAGACAACTGTTATAAAATACCTAGATGGGCAGTATCTACATGAATGATGTTTTTTTTTAAATGGCATATTTGTGTGGTGTCCAGCTTAACTCTGTATCGTGACCTGGATTTAACTGTGCTACTGGAGTATCAGAATGGTTGCTTTTCGCCCTGGCCGGTTTTCTCAGTGGTTAGAGCATCGGCCTGTGGACCAATGAGTTGCGGGTTCGATTCCGGTCCAGGGCATGTACCTCAGTTACGATTCATCCCCAGCCCTGGTTGTGGTCGTGTGGGAGGCAGCCACTTGATGTGTCCCTTTCACGTCGATGTTTCTCTCTCTCTCTCTCTCTTTCTCTCCCTCCCACTCTATCTGAACAAAAATGTCCTTGGGTGAGGATAAAAAAAAGAATGGTTGCTTTTCATTAAAATACCATTTAGTAAATTCTTCAGAGACAATGCTCCTAAATTATGTAGAATCTTATCATATAAGTGGCAAATTATTTCACCTGTCTTGGGAAAATCCTACTTTGGATTTCAATTGAAACACATTCTGGCTGCAGTCCTCCTAGTTGTTTAGGCAAGTGGCCTACTTGAGCTTTCCCCAAAATGCACCCCATCATTAGAGAACTCCTAGTGTTTAGTTGTGCAGAAATTTGCACTTTCAAAATAGTAAGATGAGTCTTCAATTTTCAGATGGTGGAGCAAAAACGTTTCTACGACCATCTTTTCTCTAAAATTACTTCTAAGCCAGAGAGGAAAACATGGAACAGTGACACGAAGTTACTCTCCCATGAGAGCCCCCTTGTAACATGTCTCCAGAGAACAAGAAGCACCCACAATCGGCTCACTGCAAGGGCGTTAGGAGCCATCTGCAGCTCCAATTGGAACACATGGTGCAGAACGGGAATGGAGGTGGTGAAGTACTGCACAGGGCAGTGTGGTACCTCAGTGTGGGCAGGCGTGATGGTGTGGAGGCTGAAGCAAAATGAAGCAGTCTGACCCGGTCACCTCCATAAAGGCACCGGGAATTGCAAAAGGAAGTATGCAAGGTATAGTGTGTGTGTGTGTGTGTGTGTGTGTGTTCTAGGAGTGGGAGAAAAAACGGGGGGCTTTTGGAAGTCTGATTAAAGATCAGTGACCATGCCTGGCTGATGTGGTTCAGTGGTTGAGCATCGACCCATGCACCAAGAGGTCGCCAGTTTGATTCCTGATCAGGGCATATGTCCAGGTTGTGGGCCCGATCCCCAGTGGGGGGCATGCAGGAGGCGGCCAGTTGATGTTCTCTCATCGACGTTTCTATCTCTCTCCCTCTCCCTTCCTGTCTCTCTAAAATCAATAAAGAAAAAAGAACGTAAAGATCAGTGAGCACCCTGTCCTTCAGTTTCTCATCATTCACCACGTGCAGTCAGGTCTTACATCCTTCCGTCCTTGTAAAAGCCCGGAGGTTTCTTGTCTGGGGATATGAAGCCAGAGGCACTGTGCACTTTGGACAACTGGCAGAGCTGGTGGAAATGAGGGGCTGGACTCAATCAGGGGCCAAAGGAGAGTCTGAATAAGGAGTTAGGAGACCCTCAGTGCCTATGTTCCTGCTGCTTCCACAGGCTGGCCTGTCGGCCTTTACACTTCTCAGTCCCATAGAAGCCCTAGCAGCCTGGAAACACTCTCAGACACATTTATCTTTCAGGATGCTTTGACTCACAGAGGGAGCATGAATTCATATCATAAAGTCTAGGCAAGGCCAGCTCGGGGTTACACATTCTCATAAGAGGTTTTTCCCCCTCACCTCTCAGTGTTGTTTTAGATATGCAAGTGGCCTTGCTGAGACATTCTGTTTGGCAAATCTATCCCTAGTTCACTGTTAAACCGAGGGCCAGCCTTTGAGGTCATCGCTTCTGGTATGGGGACTTCTATGAGATTTTCCGTAACGGGCCTTAAAGCCATGGAAACGTGGGTCTCCAAGACTTGATAGAAACACTCAGGATAAAAACTCTCATTCTAGCATACCTCGCATCCAAGCTTTTACTTTGTCTTGTCTTTATGGGTTTCTTTGGGTTTCTTTTCAGCCCAGCAATACATTTAGAGGATATACATTTTATTTTTATTAAAAAATTATTTTATGATTTCTAAGCCATTATACTGCCAAAAATAGAAGTAGTCCTTGTTTTACCTTATTATGTTTATATTGCTGACCTGGTTAATTGATTTACAGTAAGAATATATTTATGCAATATACCACCGATCAAAAAAGAAATAGAAAGGCAGATAGGATTGTAGCAGTAACCAAATGTTTATACCATCTCCATGGAGATGGGCATTTTAAGTTCCACTGTCCTGGCTGTCCCGTTTTTGAGGGACAGTGGTGTATTTTCTGCCCTGCTTCTGAATAAAGCTTTATTCAGCTTAATCTGAATAAAGAAGGATGACAGCTCAGCTTTTATGGCAAATGAAAGCATAACAGGAAGAAACGTAAATATTCTAACATACTTTGATGACACTGCCCTTCATAGGGGAAAAATTAATCCTAAGAAAGTGAAATAGTGAAGATGCTGGCATTCCTAGAGGAGAGTGAATTTGTCTGTGGGTTGATAATGTTCTAAATCTTATTTTGCTGTTCACAGTGACCACTTGAAAAGTGGCGAAATGGACTGCTGGTATTTTTCTTTTGGATATTATATTCTTCTCATTCATTAGCTTGTGAGTGCACTACACTCTCATAGCATAGAGACTTGACATCAACCACAATATAATGGAAACAGAGTAGGTATTATATAGCAAAGTTGTCCTGTCTAAGATATCCTTGACTCCCTGAATGCCTGAACTCTCTCCGGTTCATTTTCACTGAACACTGTTTATGAGGACCCAAGGAGGCAGATCTCTTATCGCTGTCAAATCTTTTTGTTCTTCCTTAATTGGTTTTTGTCACGGGGAAAGGCATAGCCTTCTTACATAATGGTTTTGATGGAATCTGTTCATTTTCTTTGCAGTCAAGGAATTTCTTTAAAATGATGGTACTTTTTCAGATTAAAATAAAAGAGAGAGAGAGAGAATTGGCCGAAGTAATCTACTTTCAAAATACGTTCTGGGTTACCTTAGCTTTTAGAAAGGGAGGGAGTAAGAAATCGGTAGGCAGGAGTGATGTCAGAGGAATGGTGGAGTAAGAGACCCCCTTAGTCCACCCCCCTTGAAGTTTTTACAATTTGAACAGCTACAACTCATCGATGGATCTCCTATTCAATGCACAAACACACCTGAGATCTACATCTAAAGGTGGCCGGTGGGAG